TCAGTATCAGGGACTACAGGCATGCAACACCACCCTCCTTTCTCTCACAAATTAATTATTATTGCTTTTAAAAGTGGAAACCATTTTCAGGAGCATTGAGGCACTTTGCTCCTTCCTTGGGCTCCTAGTCTCAAGTGTGAATTGCATTTGTGATCATCCAGCCGACAACAGTCTCTTGTTCTGCCTGCTCAGCAATGTGTCCTGAGCAGCCTAACTTGAAAATATAGCTTGTAGCTTTCACAAATCCTCTCATTTGGCACAGCAGGCAACCCTTTCATCTGAGGGTATTGATTGGTTCCCTGAAGTTGAAAAATAAGACCTCTAAGGTAGAAAAAGATAATTTTAGGAGGTAGTGGGAAGTCCGGGGAAATCTCTGTTAGCCTGGGGGTTGAGAGGTGAGGGGGTGAAGTAGAGGAAATCTATGTGAAATATGATCAGAAAACTGACAAATGCCCGATGATAATGTACACTTTTCACCCTTGCCAGTAGGGGTTTGTCCTTGAAGACACTGTGAAATATTCTTAGGGTTTCCAAAATGCCTTCCTTTCACAAAGATGAATAAATTGCAGCATTGAGCCTATGATTAGTTGACTCTTGCTCAGCTGGTACAAATTCTGCATTTGTGTTCCCTAAACAAGCCTTGAAAATTGTTGCCCTCTGGCAACATTAGTGTCCATGGGAGGCATTGAACCTTTCTGGGAACATTGACAAGTTGATTTATCACAAAGTAAATCCTTCCTAGGTATAACATTGAGTAAAATTTCTTGGCATTACAAACATATGCATAGAATATATAATTTTTTTTATAATTTTAAAAAACTTGACCTCTAATTTAAATAATAATGGAATCCAAGTAAGTAACTTCCTTTGGCTCCACTACACTGTTAGCACTCCCATTTGTTATTATTTGTACGATTAATTCCAAGTTTAGCATGTTGTAGCGGAAAATCACAGTAACAGAGTTCTAGGTGCAGCCATGCTAGTACTTTGGTGTATGAGACAGGATGTGCTAGACTTGGGAAAGGAGACAGGAGTTCAATTCCCAGCTTTGTCGCTGGTAGGCTATATGATCTTGTACAAGTAATTTTTCCCCTATGAGTCTAATTTATCATCTGTAAGAAAGGAAGGTCTGTTTTTTTATGAATCCACAAGTCCCTCTGACTCTCTAAACCTCAGTTTTCTTTTCTGGAAACCTTAATTAAATAAAGCTTTAGAAAGTATCTTATTATGTCTAAAGTCCTCTGCCATGTACCGGGGATACAAAAAAGTTTGAAGGAATTTTTATTCTAATATGAAGGGGTTGGGTAAAAGGAAGCACAAAAGGTTTATGTAGCTGGCATTTATGTGGTGCCTACTAAGTTTTAGGTACTTTATGGGTTATTATCTCACTTGTTCCTCACAACAACCCTGTGAAGTAGATACCATGGAGAGAACAGAGTTCTCTCTATAACATTGAACAATCCTGGGCCTTATTTTGTAAAATGTAAAGTGCTATGAGAAAACCTATGGGATCAATATCAGTTTCATTATGAGATGAAATGCAGTAGTGTTTGTAAAGGGATTTACAAATCTTGAAAACTTTGTCGATGTTATTTATTTGTTATAATGTGAGAGAAGTGGACACGATGATTTATCAAGGCTCTATCATGGCCCTAGTTCTGCTGAAGTGGTTTTTGTTTTTGTTTTTTTGTTTTGTCTTTTGGTGAAGCAGTCAAGGTTAAGTGACTTGCCCAGGGTCACATAGCTACTAAGTGTCATGTGTCTGAGGTCGGATTTGAATTCAGGTCCTCCTGACTCCAAGGCCGGCACTTAATCCACCGTGCCACCTAGCTGCCCCTGAAGTGTTTTCTTTAAGGAAATTATATCATCATACTCTCAGTGCTTAAGCCTTGAGGGGTGGAAGACATCGACTTTGGCCTTTTCTGGCTCTTTGTGAGATGCCAGATTTTTTCCTCTGTAAAATGAAGGGTTTCGATTACCTGATCTTTGGAGTTCCTTCCAGGTCTCAATCCTCTGATCTTGACTTCAGAGTAGGTAGAAGTACAAGCTGAAAGAAATCTTTTTGGGAAACCATCACAAGAGGAAATTGATAGGTCTTGGTAAGAGGCTTAGTTGGGGGGGGGGGAAGACCCTGAATTTTCACCGTAGTTAAATCCAGCAGTGTCCCAAGTTTCTGTTCCTAGGAAAGGGTTTTATTGGCATTAAAGATACTTGGAAAATACACAAAGGCAGGTGGACAGCTTCCAAATCAGAAATGTTTACCTTTTGAGTATCAAACTAGAACACAAAGAGCCTAGTTTCTAAACAGCTCTTGGTTGTCAGGTCTACGCTGTGCTAGGCAAATTCCAAGAGAGGACAAATCCAAATGGTTGAGGCTGCCTGTTTCCCCCTCATCCTTAGTCTGCATCTGGAGAGAGAAGGGATACTTCTGAGAGAAATGCCCAGCTCTTCTAGGCTTGTCAGAAGAAGGCCATAAAGCTTAATTTTGGAAATGTGCCAAATAAGGGACTCCTGGAGGTGTATTTCCCTTTGCTGTCCAGGTGATCCATTTGTCATCTGTAGACTGACCTGCCTCCTTTGAGCATGCTAGTTTAGAGTTCTAGGGCCCTGGCCAGAGCCCATGAAGGAAACATTCTTGCCCTGCCCAGACTACTACATCCCTCTGTTATAGGCCTTATATTCCAGGACTGTGTGGCTTTATTTTTCTTCCCCAGTTTTGGGAATTTGTAGAGTCGGGGTGTGTGTGTGTGTGTGTGTGTGTGTGTGTGTGTGTGTGTGTGTGTGTGTGTGTGTGTTAAATTGAGAAAGAGCCCTAAAACCAAAATGACCACACCAACCAGCTTTCTCTTTCCTACCACAGCTTCTTCTTCCCTATCCAATCACAGGGAAAGGAATTAGGGATTTGACCCTTACCAAGTAGCCGGTTAATTTGTCAGGTCCTTGGTTTCCTTATTTTTGAAATGGTACTGAAACCACCTTTTTCACAAGGTTATTATGAAGATCAAGTGAGAATATATGTAGAGCAGTTTGCAGTCCTAGAGTTAGCGATGGAAGGAACTTTAGATGACATCTGGTGTAACTCTTATTTGACAGAGGAGGAAGCTGAGGCTGTGCAACGAAATATGATTTCCTTAAGGTTACACAGGTCTGCTGACTAGGGAAAATACTCTACTCAATGAACCACTTATGGTTCAATATAAAGTATTGGATTTGGAATCTGAGCACTTAGATTGGAACCCCAGCTTTGTAAGTTACTACCTGTGTTACCTCAGTTTCCTCAGCTGTAAAATGATACAATTGGATTATGAAAAAATAGAATCTTTCATAAATATGAGCTATTATAACACAGTATGATTATATTTCATTATGTTAATATTGTGAGTCAGTTTTTCTTAGTGGATATAGAGCCAGATTGGAATCAAGAATGAATCAGTCTCAACAAGCCTTTATTAAGAGCTTAAGGAACCAGTCACACCAGATTCAATTTAATAGGGATTTATTGGGCACTTATTTTAAGTGTTGAGTTTGAATCCTGCCTCAAAACTTTTCCTTCAAAAGTCATGTAATCTCTCTCAGCCATAGTTTACTCATCTGTGAAATGAGGATAATAATAGTACCTACCTCACAGAATTGCTGTGAGAATGTATTTTTTACTTTGAAATCTTCAAATGCTATTTAATATATACTTATAATTATGTATTATCATATCATATAATTGTATTATATGATGTATCATAATACTAGCTATTATTTGTCTGCAGATGAAATAGGAGGCAGAGGCTTTGTCTTCAAGAAGTTTGTTGGTGAGCTAAGATGCATTTAGAGAAAGATAATGATTATATCATTGTGGCACAATGGATAAAAAAACAACCTGTAGAACCAGGAAGACCTCGGTTTAAGTCCTGACTGCTGGGTCTGTGGCCCTGGACAAGTATCTTAAACCTTTTAGTGCTCTAGCTAGTCTTCTAGAGACTTTGCTCATTTGGAATTTCCCTACTTCAACGAAATCAAAGATCCAGTCTCTGTCTCTGTTTGTCCTGTCTGACCACCTTTTTATCCATCTGTCTGTGTGTCCATCCATCCATCCATCCATCTGTCTGTCTGTCTACCCACCCATCTAGCATTCCAACCCTTCTCTGTACTTTTATAGCTACAAGATTATTCAGGCTCTCAACCTGGATTGGTTCAGTGGCCTCCTGTTAGTTTGCCTGACGCTACTTTTCCCCACCTTCCACTCCATCCTCCATTCCTTTATGACAGTGATTTTCCGCAAGCACAGCTCTATGTCCTTCTCCTACTCAGCAGATTCTAGTGACTTGCTAGTGCTTCTTGAGACAAAACAAAATAAATAAATAAATGAATGAATGAATGAAAATAAAAAATTTAAAAAAAAAAAGTTCTTTTGCTTAGCTTTTAAAGCTTGTGGCTCCACCCTAGCTTTCCAGCCTTATTGGACATGACTCCTTATACTGTATGGTCCAACCAGTCTGGCATTTCTGTTCTTCCATATGACGTGCCATCTCCCATTTCTGTGCCTTTGTTCTGGCTATGCCTAGAATGCCCCCTTTACCTCCATTACATTGCTTCTCTCTTCTCTTCAAGATGCAGTTTAAGCAACTCTTTCTACATGAAACCTTGTCTGGTCTCTTCAGTACCATTTCTTTTTACTCCCTTTGTTGTTTTCTGCTCCTTTCCTCCTCAATCTGCCTTGCATTTATTTTGTGTACATATGTGTGCGTATGTATACATGTATAGTGTATATGTTTATATGTATATATACACACACGCATACTTGTCTCCCTCATTAGAATGCAAAACTTTTTGCGCATAGGGATGTTTCATTCATTGTATTTGCATTTGCAGTCACTAACGTAGGTCTTGGTATATAGTAGATAATCACTAAGTGGTTATTGATTGATATATTCAGTGCTTAGCAGTTGAGAATGATCTGGCTGCTTTAGAGACTGAAATATCATCCTTTCTTTCTCTTATTCCTTTAGCTCAACCTTAGCAGACCAATTGAGGAGCAGGGGCCATTGGATGTGATCATACACAAACTGACCGATGTCATCCTGGAAGCTGATCAGAATGACAGCCAATCCTTGGAGTTGGTTCACAGATTCCAGGTGGGTAATTTCCATTGCCTAGAGAAGCCAGTTTATCTGTTTATCTGTCTATTCATTTAATTATTTATCTGTCTACTTTTATCCTCCTCCTCATTTCCAGTTTGCTGATCTGTACTAACTACTAGGAGTGATGCAACATTTTAGTAGGCCATGATCTCTGTCTATACGGGGCTCATGCAAATATAACCATCACTGTATACTATGCAGTAAAATGTGATTAACGCACACATAAGAACTATAAACAATGTGCTTGTGATCTTTGAGAAAAATCTAGTCTATCTATGATAGAACCCTCCTTGTCACTTTCCCTCTTCTCTACCTCAAAGGCCTTCTCAGTCTTCACTCATACATTCTCTTCTCTTACAACCTTTATGACAGTATCTTATTGAAGATCTTGCGCCTGCCATGCTTCAGCCTTGGATTAGTGCCACCCTTCATTGCCAGTTGTTGGTCTCCTTACTTTCTGTGGCTTGAGAGCTCCCAAAGCTGCTACTGCTTTTGTGGCCACCACCTAGTCCTACCACTGGTGTTTCATCTGTGGGGGACTGTTGGCCATCTCTCTTTCCAACCTGTTTTTGTCTTGGGCTGGATAAATGTCTCACTTTATAACTTTTTGTTGGCTCTGCATCTTCAGAATTAGATTTGAGTTGTTTTTTAAAAAAAAAGAATTGAGAGGAATGTTGGGAGAGCTCAGCTGAGTGCTTTCTCTACTCTACCATCTTGGTTCCCCCTTATTAATTTCTGGTTTCATCACTTTCTTACAACTGCTTCAAGGTTACCAATGAATTACCTGTTAAATCTGACAGGCCTTTCTTCATCGTTGTCCTCCTTTGGAACTTTTGACATTGGGAAGGATGCCTTCTGTCTGGATACTATTTCTTCTTTTGACTGCTGTGATACTACTTTCTCATGGGTCTCTTTCCACCTGTCTGATTACTTCTCAGTCTCCTTTGCCAGAATTATCAATCTCCTGTCCCTTAAATGTGGATGTCCTGGGTACCCTTTTCTTTGTGTTTTATTTTTGTTTGTTTGTTTGTTTGTTTTGGTTCGGTTTGGGGTTTTTTTTGTATCCTCTACTAGAATGAAAAGTCCTTAATGCCAAGGTTTCTCTTTTCTCCCCCCTTCTTTTTGTATACCCTAGCACCTCATGCAGTGTTTTGCACATTATTAGTGTTTAACTATTTGTTGAATTGATTATAATTGAAACTAGAGGATCAAAGTTGGTTGCTTAGTAGAGACTTAGGAAAGATTTGGGGGAGGTGTTGGCATTTGAGTTGGTCTTTAATACTGGGTAGGAATTTGACTGGTGAGGAGGGAGTAGGTTATTCCAGGCAGAGGAATGAGTAAAGCTGCAGAGGTATGATCAGGTGACCAACAGTAATTTGATTTGGCCAAAGCATAGAATAACTGGGATGTGAGGTGGGAGTATTAGATAAAGCTGAAAAAACTTAGAATTGATGAGGGCGGGGCCCAAGCCAAGATCTTCACCCTTTGCCCCAAAGGGAATCTGACTCACAGGCCCCAGACCCTCATCTCCCTTGAAAGCCCTAGCTTACCTTTAGATCTTATTCAGATGCACCTTCAACCCTTGCCCTGAATAGAATCTGGCTCTTGTCTATAGGCCCCAGAAAGGCCTTCCTTTATCTCCTTTTGAAAGTCCTAGCCCCACCTTGATTTTGTGCAGATGCCTTTCAAACTTCTGCCTTCCTGTTCCTCCATTATCTATTCCCATTGTCTATTCAATCTCTCCGACCTCCCCAATTAGAATTGTTATCTACACCCTTTACCCAACCCCCTTCTCTGGCCACCCAAAGTTACTTTAGTATTTAAGATCCACCTTGGCCCTCATTCAGATGCTGAGAATCTCAGGCCCACAAGGCTGAGAACCTCTCATGCCCGCTCGTCTTTACGGGCGTCACCCGGCCTATATGTTTTACCACCAATAAACTTTTCCTCTGGCTGAAGAAGATTTGAGTTGAATTCATTCAGGCAGGGCCTGGTACCGCGATCTTGGGGTCCCAGCACCCCAAAACCCCTAGACCTCTTCAGAATGATGTCAGACTAAGAGTGCCAGGCAGAGGAAACAGAGAAAGGATGTTTGTTAAGTCAGGTGGTTTTCAAACTTTTGGTCTCAGGACCCTTTTGTACTCTTAAAAATCATTGAGGAACCCCAAAGAGCTTTTATTTAAACCTTGGAAAGGTTTATTAAGAAAAAGTTTTTATCTAATGAGATGTACTATATTCAAAATTATTATTATAAAATTGTTACAAAAATAATTTTGACATTGTAAATCCCTGAAAAGGTCTCCTGGAACCTATGCTTAAAGAACTGTTGTTTTCTTCTGTTGTTACAAGAGATGGCCAGAGGTGGGAGAGTTATATGTGAAAAGCAAAGTGATGTAAAACTAAGAGCTATGAGTAAAATGATTTTTAAAAATTAGAAAAATAAAAGTCAAAGATAACCCCAACATTTTGAACACGGAAACAGTGAATGTTTCTTCTGTTGAGGGAAGTAGGTTACTACTATTTTTTTTTTCTTTTGAGTGGACAAGAATTACAAGGTCAGTTTTAGACATGTTGATTTAATGAAAGGCTTGGTCTAGATGGGTTGAGTGTCCTTCCATTTTATGTGGGCAGTCTCTAATTCTGTTTTTCATTTGTTCAGAGAAGCATTTTCATTAGAATAGGGAACACTTCCTCCACTTATCCATTTCCTGTACTGTTCTCCAGCTTGATCTCAGAAAGTTGCCTGGGGTAGCGAGAGGTTTAAGTGACTTACCCAGAGTAAACCACCATAGATCTCAGGTCATGTTAACTCTGAACCTGACTGATTTTTACTCTGTTCTCTCTGTGCCCTGTTGTCTTATGTTTCCTTACAACTCTGACTTGCTGTGTTATAAGAGCTCTTCCAGTTCGTACACACTCTTGTCTTTGGTTTTGAAAGAACCCTTAAGAAGGTGCCTTCGTGGCTAATTGGCCTCTTTCTTGTTGGTTTTATTTCTGACCTTTGTTCCTTTCTTTGACTATCTCTTGCTGTGTCTCTCATTTGTTGTAAGATAAAACCAAGACAATAGAACTGCTCTTCAAGTCTCTCTCTTTGGGAGGTATTGGCATTCAAATCTCTGGGCAATTTCCTTTTCTCCTAAACTACCACAAACCTACTTTTTCTGGGTACATATCTTCTCCTCTCCCAAATCTTTTGGCTCCCATAGTGATATTACACTTATTCTGTTGTCTTCTGCCTGTTTTCCTCATCTCTTGACAAAAATGTGATTTATATTTTTGAATACTGACTGTGTATATCATAAAACACCACATCTCAGAAAGTTGATGTTTTTTAAAGAACTCCTTTTGGAATCTTGATGTTTTCAGAGAACCTCTTTCAGTTCGTGAGTGTTAGAGAGATGAAATGACTTTTTTTTTGCCAAAGAAGAAGGGGGGGTCAGGTTTTTCATTACGTTAATATAATATGTTTTGAAGACATTTGATTTTTTTTAAGTGTGTGCACCTTTGAAATCTGTGTTCCTTTACTGATTCTCAGTTTTTCTGTTCTGTCTTTGCATTTGGTTATGGTGATAACGTCAATTGTTGATTTTGGTTTTAAATTGGATCCAAAAGAAAAAAGCAACAACAACTCACATTTATATTTTAGCTTAAAAACCATTTTAATCCTCCCTCACTGCTTAGTTCAGTGTTCTGTACAGGGTGGGCAGTTACACAAAATGTTCTTTGAATGAGTAAAAAGTACTTTTTCTGGGCAGCTAGGTGGCGCAGTGGATAGAGCACTGGCCCTGGAGTCAGGAGGATCTGAGTTCAAATGTGGCCTTAGACACTTGACACTAGCTGTGTGACCTTGGGCAAGTCACTTAATGCTATTGCCTACAAAAAAAAGAAAGAAATAAAAAGTACTTTTTCTGTAATATGTCATTTAATAATATAGATAACACCAAAGTCTTAGGTGGTAGATAATGCAGTTAAGTGACCAAGTGACTTGCCCAAGGTCTAACCATGAAGTATTAAGTAGCAGAGTTGGTATGCAACCATAAGTCTTCTCACACCAAGATCATTGTTCTTTCTACTATGCCCAGCAGTGCCTGCATATTCTGGGTACCTTATGTACTTTTCTTCCTGATCCTTTTCCCTCCCAGACCTTTACCTTACCAGCCACCAGCTGTGCTAGTAGCTAGCTATCTGGAAAAGTGAGAACTTGGAAGGTCCTTAGCTTAAAATGGCTGATGTCTCCCACTGCACCTGGAGCCATGTCCCGTTGTCCTGATCTATATCTTGCCACCGGACCCAGATGGCTCTGGAGGAGAAAGTGAGGCTGGTGATATTGCACAACCTCCCTTGCTTAAATCCAATTCACTTGCAAGTTATGGTATCATCTTCCTGATGTCACGGTCCTCTTTGAGAATAAAGGACTAAAACCAACAGTCTGAAAAGGTCCTATTCCCATATTCTAAGGAAAGGGGTAAAAGAGAAAATATTCATCATACCTCTTTCCATTTTTTCTTGACCTAGTTTGATTCCTCTCCTAATTCATCTGTGTTATGCTCTGGCCAGAAATAATTCAGTAATTGACCATTTCTCCTATTAAAAAAAACCAAACAAACCATGCACAATCTCAAATTAATTTTAAAATACAGTTGGCCTTACATGGCAGATGTTTATTTAGTGGGGAGGCATTATGGTATAATGGAAAGATCATTGTATTTGTAATCCCAGCTGCTACTCAGTACTCTTGTGATGTTGGACAAATCACTTAACCTCTAAGCCTCAGTTTCTTCATCTGCATAGTGATGGAGTTGGCCTAGATGATGTCTGAGCTCCCTTCCAGTTCTAGATCTGTGGTCTTTTGATTGTTCTGAAGATCACTATTCTAGCTTCTGGTGGAGATACAGAGTTCTTATAAGACCAAAATCTCTTGGAGCCCATAGTTAGTAGGAAACTTACTGAGTACAGGAAAGATGATTATTAATATATTAAATAATATGTTGTAT